TCTGGTATTGCTCAGGTCAATTCAGTTTGGCACTAGTTATATTTATCACCTCAATAAAACAGTTAACTATTAGTAATATTATTATTAACAAATAAAATAAAAAGTATATTTTATTACAGGTATTAACAAGTTACTAAATACAAGAAAACATTTATACTCAAAGGATAATGATTAAAATATTGTTAAGAAAGCATACACTTCTAAAATATTTAATGTGAATAATAAGTGCGAAAACATCTAGTCTAAACTGAAAATAAAATACTTTTAATTTCTTTAAATTGATATTTAACTTAGTACTAATCTCAATCATAAAATATCATCAGAATCTTATTGTAATATTGATAAAATAAATATAATATAAGTATAATGAACATGCTTGAAAACTTTATCAAATTTCGACTGATTTTTTTTTTTTACCTTGGCGTGTGAATTACTACGCTGAAATGGTGAAGGCGGAGTAGACGACGTCGGTGGCGACAACGGCTGCAGCGTGTAGCCGTTGATTCTCAGGAAAATCGCGATCAAAAAATAATTAAAAATAATAATAAACTGTAATAATAGTAAATGATAATAATGTATCACTGCCGAGTGATTTTTTTTACGGCGTTGTCCGTTTCGTCGGTGATTGTGATTTTTTCTTTTTAAAAAAAACTTCAAACGACAAGGCACTGGGCCGGTGTATGACGGTTCACATGTGTTATAGTGATTATTATTAATTAATATTAATATTGATATTATTACAGTGTACAATATTACTGTACGCACGGCCGAGCCGGCAACGCGTGGTCACGTGTGGAGAACACGGAACCGCTGCAATTGCACCGGGACGGATATCAAACGCGTACTGAGTGCATAACCGACGCGCGGCGGCGGCGACGATCGTCGTCGCGTTATCACGAAACGCGCGCGCGGAAATGAGTCGTCGTCGTCGTCGTCATAGTAGTAGTAGTAAGTGGAGTAGTATTAGTAGTAGTAGTAGTGAACAGCGGCGGCGACAGCAGCAGCAGCAGTAGTAGTATTAGTAGTAGTAATATGTAGTAGTGGTGAGCAGTAAGTAGTAGTAGTAATAGTAGTGGTAGTAGTACGAGCAGACGAACGTGCGTGTGCGAGCGAGACGGACGGCGAGGGAAAGCGCTGTGCGCGGCGATACGCGGACACGAGTGTAGCGAGACGGGTGGTGACGCGACGGTGGCGGCGGCGGCGGCAGCCACTATACCGTCGCTATTTGATGCACTGTACACGCTACACTGACGCACGCACGCGCGTCATCGTCCCGTCGCGACGGCTCGCCCAGGCGTTATGCGAGCGCGAACCGAAACGGGGGCGGCCGTGCCGGAGTGTCCGCCGGCCAGTCCCACACCGTCGAGTCCACCCGCCCACAAGCTGCCGTCGCGCTCTCGCATTCGCGGCGCGAGGTTAGCGCATTACCACCGCCGCCGCCGCCGACTGCGGTACACAGGTGAGCGGCAGAAGCTGTCGACGACGACGACGACGTTATTCCTGCGCCGTCCGTATTTTTATTTTTTTATGCCGATACACCGGGTATGCGGTATACACGCGCGCGTGTGTGTGTGTGTACGCGCAATGGTATTTTTATTCCCAAACTTCCTTCTTTTTTTTTTTTTTTTTTCGTCAACGGAAACCGATACGTTTTCGGTGTTGCATATTTTCCTTGACTTAAAGGCAACAACACACGTTTATGTACTGCGTGAATCAATATAGGAATAAACCGTAATATAGGTACAAATAATTATCTCTGAGATATGGCAGGGAGGACCGAAGCTCGGATTCGTGTCGGAATCTTTTGAAGCTTTTGCGGTATAACTAAACCCATATGTCCCATATTATGACAACAAAATATGTTCTCGCTACACGCTCGAAAAGTGTGAGTATTACAATAATCGTTCAAAAATTATAAATATTCAAACATCATATTATGTTAATCAGTTTTCATTCACATATGTCTTTAAAAAAAAAACAATGGTGATATATTTTTAATTTTTGAACACATAAGAATCATAATAATGATCATATTCGCCTTTCATGTTTAAAAAATTCTAATAATAACGACGTGATCACTAATCAATTTTATGCGACCCGTTCCTTTATAATAGCAATATAAATATAATTAGTCTTATATTAAACATGTTATATAACACTGATAAAAGAAATTTAAAAATTACGTTTGTTTTAGCAAATAATGTTTAACGTGTTATTGTCATTACTGAAAATCGATCGATTCGGTCAAATGACCACCAATTTTAATATAAAGATGAAAATGTATTCATACATTCCATTGTGGTGTAAAATCTGAGTGTCTTTTTTTTTTATAGGAGGGGGTGGGCTATGTAACAGTTAGTCGGGTTAGGAGGTTTAGCTGTTTACTCCTATAATGAATGTATAGTAGTAGTATAAATAAATATCGTCACGATGCTGTAGCAAAATGTTTCCGATAAAACATGAAAGCTTTATGTGGGACTATGCAGTTATATAAATTATAATAATATGTATACACTGTACAGCCTAATACCGCAGTCATATGCTGTCGAATAACCAAACGTATTATACCTACTATACCTACAATACACATGGACACATGAATTTAATATTATACATAAATCATTTACGCGTCAACGTCTATGTTTTTATTTACAAGCTTGCAAGCTAACAATTAAAGCTGGCAATACAACATAAACAATATAGGTACATATCTTATTTGTTGCCATTCTGCAGCTTTCAACAAGAGCAACTATAGAATTGAAACAATTTTCCAATAATTATCTACTTATATACATATTTATTTCTATAGGTACATATTTTTTTTAATTTTAAAATCAATGATCACAGAGCGTCAAAAAAAGCTATTTTGAACTATCCTCTTTTTAATATTTACAACTCAATTTTTTATGTCAGTTTTCAAATTAAAGTTTAAAAACAAAGCATGATGGATTTTTGAAAATTGTTTAAAAGTGGTTAGTAAAAAAACAAAACCTGACTTGACAAAGTTTTTTCAAACATTTTATTTTTTTATTGTAATAGCTAATATTTTATATTTTGTTAAAATAAAACTTACTCTGTATATTTTCATTTTTAGGTATGATTAACTTTCCGAATAACTTATGGTATTAAAATGTCAAAATTGTTTAAAAAGAATGTATAATAACAAATGTAATATAATATAATAATACCTATATAGGTATTATATAACATTATATAAATAATTGATGCGCATTAAAAAAAATAAAATTTCAGTTTTTATATACACAAAGTTTAAACAGTGTATATATAAATAATAATATTGTATTTAGGTTGGTCATAACTCGTAGGTAAGCAAATATAAAAACCTTTTTACAATGCATATTTGAAAATATGGAGCTAAATTATCAAGTATGATATATAAATTTTTAACTGAAAAAAAAAACAATAAAGAACAAACTTAAATTTAAATCACAGTACTCCATATAACGTCAGAATTAAAAAAAAATAAATATTTTTCCGAAGGATTCAATTCTATACTATTTTGAAACACCCAAATTGTGTCATGAATGAATACGATATTATTATAGCCGATTATAAATATTCATCGAAATCGCATAGATTAACGATCAAAATGATCAAATACTCAAACTAAATGATACATTAATATTGTTTAAAACATTTCGTCTATCAACTTCTTTTGAAACCAATAATGGTTTAATAATCTTCAACTTTGAAGTTTGGACAAGCTAAGTTTAGACTTAAACAATGTCAAATTTTTCCAGCCCAAATTCCTAAGTAAATTAACGACCTTTTCATTTTAATAATTATAAACGACATCACTCATCAAAACATTCTATACCTAAATTCTAAATTATTCCATTTCAATTTCTCCAACCGTCGTAATCGTTTAATGTTTGGCTTAATTCTCCGTAATATTCTAGATGACGCCAGAATTTAAAAGACGTTAAAAATGGAAACGGTTTCATTGGTAATGAATGGAGTGACCTACTAATTATAGAATAAACAATTATAATTTAACGGTTGGTCATATAAACAAATATATTTATGGTCCCTACAACCTACAATACTTAAGTAAATATTAACCCAGTCTATAAAATGTATATTATACATTTATTGTAACAATAAATATCTACAAATTGTGATAATATATCACATATACTTTATAGTTTATACAAAATGCTTAACGATAACAATAACATAAAATATTTCAAAAGTATGACCTTTAATTTTATTATATAAAGTTTAACTTTTTCCTCCCATTTTCACAACACAACAAATTTTTTTTGAATTGCAACTCCCTATTATTTAAGTTTAAAATTATATAACATCATTATTATTATTATTATAAATTCAACGATACAATTTTAAAAATTATTGATAGTCGGTATAGTCACATAATTGAATGGCCTAAAAATAGGCTTAATTCACTTAAAACTTTTTACTTTTCTTATACCCACTCTATATCTAAATGATTTAATTTTTTTGAATGGTTTTTACCTCTAAGCTAGACTTTTATAACTACACAATGATAAACTGAAATATTATTTGTTTATTATACAATTGTAGTTGAATAAAGAAATAAAATAATAATAAATTAAACAAGCAAAACTTTATTAAAACTTATTTTAAAAATTATCTTATGCGAGTATTTAAAAAAATGTCCTTAAGTCATTTCAATTTATTAGTTTTATTTGATAATTTTACACTCTGTAGTTTCAAAATTTAAAATACATATTATTAAAAATACCTTAATATTTTTTTTCCAATTATTTTAATATTTGAATCAACAGTTTTTATCGTATTTTAATAATTCCATTCTATCACAATAACAATTAAAAATTAATAATAAGCAGATTTAAAGATTTAAAATAATTTAAATAATATTAAAAAAAGTCTTTAGAAGGGAGAAAAATTCCTATCTATTCACTCGTAAAAATGTGTCTTGATATTTTTAAATTGCTATAATAAAATTTATGGAGACCCTTATATAACATTTTAAAACTTTTTGAATAAGCGAAAATTGTTATCGAGATGTATAGAAAAAAAATTAAAAATTAACATTAAATATCTATAAATATAGATTTAAACATTTTGAAACTATTATCTAGCATAATTTTCTATTAGAACCCATGCATACTCTAAGTTGAAGAACCAATTATTTTTTCTATTATAAATCGTGTATCAAGAAGGATTAGTAAATTTTTTCTGCCGGTAAAATATGAATCAATAATTATGCCATGCATTACGAATGTAACTTACTCCCTCCCCTACAAAAAAAGGCATTATTTTACTTAAATTTCAAAATTTGTTTTTTTTGCCCCTAAATTAGCAAAATATACAATAACTATAATTATAGCTATAATAATTTTGAGTATTCTGCTTGAACTTGAAGTTAAATCTTATTAAATTTTTAAATATTATTGAAAATATCCTTAACTATTTTGTAACCAATATAAATATTAACGTTTTGTACAGTATTTATACGGTAATTTAAT